TTCCTGGAAGAAGGCATAGAACAAATAGGAATAAGCATAATTTTAAAAGAAAATAATATAAATTTTTCAAAATTGATGAAAGACATGAATTCTCAGATTCAGGAATCTATTAAGTCTTGACCATAACAAACAAAAATAAATCCACATTCCTACACAAAACAGTGAAGTTTCAAAGTACCAATAACAACAAAGAAAAGATCTTCAAAGCATTCAGAAACAACAGAGGGAATACATGCTGAGTAATAACAGTATGACCAATGGAAGATTTCTAAATAGCAACAATGGAGTAATGTATGCAATTGTGCTCCTGTTTTCCAATATAGTTAGTTTATTTTCTGTTTCCTTCCTGTCCCCCCATTCTCTCTCCATGTCTCTCTTTTTCCCTTCACCTTCTTTTCTTTTTTCTATTTTTGTAAATCATTCTTGTCAAATATTTGTATTTTCTTATATGTGGACATTTATATAACCACTGATTCTATTTTTTAATAGTTACAGGTCTATTCTGCTTTTCTTTTTCTTCTGGAGTTAGTTTTAGTAAGTTAAGCTTGTAAAGAAAACCACCTATTTCATTTAAGTTTTCAAATGTGTTGGCACAAAGTTGTTCATATGATTTGTGATTCTATGGTACTGTCTTTATGATTTTATAATTGGATTCCAGTATAATGTGTTTAAAAATCAAAGAAACAATAAAATTAGAAAGCATAATAACACAAACTATGAAGACAGAATATGACCAAATACATCTGTCTGGATACCAAATTAAAAGACACGTCTTAAATATAGTGATGTGGAAGAGCTAAAAATAAAAGAATGAGTGAAAGTATCAGGAAAATGCAAACAAATTAAAGCTGCTATTGTGGTTTGATATTAAACACAGATGAATTTGGGGCAAAACATTTTATAAAACTAAAGACTAAAAATCACAATGAGTATATATGCCATAAATATCAATGCATTAAATCACATAGCAAAATTCATAAAGAAAAAAAGGAAATTTGACTAAAAAAACAGAAACACTAGTGGTAGGAAATGTAATCCACACCCAGCTAATCTTTTTTGTTTTGTTTTGTTTTGTTTTCTGTAGAGATGGGGGTCTCACTTTTGCCCAGGTTGGTCTCGAACTCCTGGCCTCAGGAGATCCTCCCACCTCAACCTACCAAAGTTCTGAGATTACAGGCTACAGCCACTGCACCCAGCCCCAACGACTTTCTTAAAACTCGGAATTATTGATTTCTCAAAGCTTTTAAGGTACTGAAGAATTTAGACCAAAATCCAGGAGAAGGAAAGGACCCAACATTCATAGCCATTCCTACCCCAAGACCATCTGTCAACCCGGAAAAACAAACAGCCAACCTGAGCTGTGTTTTGTGGTTTTGAAGAGCAAATGTAAAAGTCAAAACCCAGGCCAAGCAAGGCTGGAGGTCACCTAAATGGTGTGGCCTCAGGCAGTACCCACCCCTGATAGCTGTCCAGCAGCATGTCCTCAGGAAATGTCTTGCCATATCATTCTGAGCTGCATGATGACATAGCAGCCAGCAGAGCACCCCTGATTTTGTAAGAACTAATATGTCTGTAAGTGGCAGCAACAATGAAAGGCAGAAACAAACCCAGATGTACCTTTTGTACCTACATATAATCACTTTAAAGGGCTGAATTCTCATTGTCCAAATTTCTTTAAAGTTGTCCTTCCCATGAAAAGAATTACAGTCCATTATTAATTCCATCCTGGGTTTGACATGTGAACAGACCCCTACCAAACTTCTTACTCCAGCCAGCCATATTTCCCCATCAGAAAATGATACAACTTCTACCATAAATAGTCTGTGTGTGCTGGCAAAAGGAAATTGGAAATAGTATCATTAAAGAAAATTTCTGTTCAATTATTTGAGTTGCTCAGATGAAACTATGTGAAAGAGAAAAGTGCTTGACCTGGAGAGACAGATCAGGGGGTGGGAAGGCCACGTTTGAAGGAAGGAAGCTAGCTTGGCTGTCTGTATTCCATATTAACATAAAGGAGAGGTGCTTTGCAGTAAGTCAGCTTCTCTGGAGAGACCTCGTATGTGACTCTTGGCCTGTAACGCTCAGGACAGCTTTGTGCCCAAGTGACTCTGGGCAAGTGCTAAGAAGAGCACACGTGCAGATGCACGCCTAACATGTACCAGCATTGAGTGCTCCCACCGAGATTAGGGAGTGAGATAGAATTCCCTGTTTTCCCTTTGAGCAGCAGTTGATGTTCATGCAATAGGACAGTTAAGGCAGAAATCCAATTACTGAGCTAATTAGCACCTTTGAGTGGTAAGCACAAAATTTACTGGAGGAAAGCACTAGAGAAAAGCTCAAATTACCCAGTATGGCTGACGGTCTACCTTGTTAGAGAGTTGGTGGAGAGCCAGAGGCCCTGGGGTACAGGGCAGCTTAGCTTAGTGATTGCTCATCAGAATTTAGCACTCTGCATTCTATAGCCTTTTGCAAAGATAGCTTTCCAGTGAACATAGTTTTAGAAGGTGTTTTAATTCCCGAAGGAATTTGGTAAATGACTTTGTTTTGGCTCCTTCCTCCTTTAAAAAATGTTTATTCTGCTGATGAAAATTCCATTTGTCCAAGGTCTTAAGGTGAAATTAAAATTCCATTTAGGGACTAACTATGCAGATATGGGATTTCAACCTTCATTAGAAAGAATTTTGTTGTTTGCTTTATTTTCTGACACCCTGGGATCTTTTGTTTTTCAGTGCTTCACTGGGAGTATTTAGAAGGAAAACTGAAGCCATAGTATATTAATAGAACAGCGTGCTGGGGTTAACAGCTTTTCTGAGATGTAACAGAATATTCCTTCTCTCCAACCCATCCAGAGAATCTATCCCACAAAGCTCAAACAAGGTCCTGCCTAGATGGTTCTCAAATGTCTGAGACATACAAGGGGAAAAAATAATAGCTTTTTTTCTGAAGACGAAACTTTTTATTTATTCAAATTACAGTTCCGCCCAAATAATCTTTTTATCTGTTTGGATTCCTGAGAGACAGATTCACAGAAGAAGTCTGCATTCTGAGATTTCTTCTTAAGCACCATTTCTGACAAGTGTTTGTCATTTATTAAATCATACTGAGTATGTCAACGATCTTGTTTAAACGTAAGCCAAATGTGCGACAGCAAGTGGCAGCTAGTCTCCTTTCTTCTTAGCAGATACTGTGAGAGCAAAAACTTCAGAAGGAGCCTTATCTTTGACTATTCATTCGTTCATTTATTCTCCAAATATTTATTGAGCGACTACTGGATGCCAGTTGTAAGCAAAGCACTTACTCTTACGATACTTGGGGCGTGGTGTAAGGGGCAGGTCTGATCAGATAACCACAGAGAGATGTATGAGGTGGTGTGGGGTAAAGGCTTCAGAGCCGGCCTACCTGGGTCCAATTCTGTCTCCACCACCTGTTAAATCTGTGACCTTCAGTCCTTTGCTTAACCTCTCTGTTCCTCCGTGAGAATGGGTATAATAATAGTACCTACCTCACAGGGTGGATGTGAGGATATAATGAGTTAATACGTGTCATGTACTTAGAGCAGGTGCATGACGCAAGCAAATGCTACATAAATGTTAGCCATCATCATCATTATTATTGTCAGCCGAGACAGGCTCTCCAAAGGGGAGGTATGGTGTGTGGAAGGGCATGTGCCAAAGGTATCTCACCCACAGCAAGTGTCGGGGAAGCCTCCCTGAGAACGCAATGCTTGAGCAGACTTCAAGCGTGAGTGAATCAACGAGAAATGAGTGGGCATGGAAAGACAGTACCCCGAGTAGAGGGAACGACAGTTGCAAAAAATACAGGGGATGGAGGGGTGGCAGGAAAAAGGCATGATGAAGAGGTGGAAAAAGACCAACATGGCTGAAGTGTACAAAGCAAAGGGTAGAGTGATAGCAAAGGCAGGCCCAGGTGTGTTCAAGACCAATCTTTTCACAGGTTTCAGTGGGACCTTCATTATATCCAAATCTTTATGTAAACCCTATGTTCCGTGCTGATATATTTCTAGTGAAAGCCATTTCTTATTGGCTAATATCTCAGATTTAACCATATGAAGCCATTTTTGCAAGACGTACACAGTTGACCATTATCAGTTTCATAGGCTTGACATCGATTTCATATTTCGTCCTTCAAAGGGGGATGAGACCACCACTCAGTATCTGAAATAAAAAGACAAAGCAGGTCAGGCACGGTCTCTGAGCAGAGAAGATTGTTGCCCTTGTAAAGGGTTTTGAGGATGTGTGGAGTTAAAGGACTGGCGAAGTATTAGAGGCATAGGTGGGTTGACAGCATCTGTGTAGGAGGTTACTTGGAGAGGTGGTTGCTGATTGCTTGGTTGCCCCTTAGACGTCTGCAGTGAGCCCATTCCTCCCCAGCTGACTCTCAGAAGCCAGGGGTTGTCATGGACCACCTGCCTTACAAAAACAGGTGAGTTATGATTGAATTGGTTCAAAACTGGTTCTGGTGGCCACTTGTTACCATGGCTGCAGACAATCTGTATTCTCCTACATTTGTAAGAGCTGTTTTTATTCTCATCATTCAAGCTAAGAAAGATCTATAAGAATATACCCAACTCTTGAAAGCAGATGGTGGAGATGTTGACTGCTCACCACAATTTTGGGGAATCAATTTGAAAAGGAAAGTACCTATGTGCACACTTTTTCTAAAAATGAGTGGCATTCGAATGGCAGTTCAAGCACTTGCTTTTATTTTGTGGATCTGGTGCTGAAGATTGATTAAGATACAAGGCCATTGTCCCCAAATCAGAGAACTACTCATCTCTCCCCTGCATCTACTTCTTGTACTTTTCCCTCTCTTTCTTGTCGTGAGACTCCTCTCTTCCTGCAATATTGTCAAATTGGAGCAATCACCTCGACCTGTGAGCTCTGCCTCCTCTGCATTTCCTACTCAGGCTGCTGGTAAACCAGCTCTCTCGCTTGCAGGGATCTAATCGTGACCTTTTACCCTTTTGTGGCCTCTTTTAGTACAAGGCGAGTGGATAATTCCAACACAAGACTGGCAGTCCAAATTGAAAGGGATCCAGGTAAGAAGATCTCCTTCTTCCCTCTTCTTAAGCTATTTATTTTGTTACATAGATCAGTGGTCCCCAACCTTTTTGGCACCAGGGACCGTTTTCATGGAAGACAATTTTTCCATGCAGGAAGGGGGGTGGGCAGGGGGCTACAGGGAGATGATTTGGGAATGATTCAAGCACATTACATTTATTGTGCAATTTATTATTATTACATTGTAATATATAATAAAATAATTATACAACTCAGCGTAGGTTGGGGACCCCTGACATAGATGGATTCCAAAAAAAGGGAATTAAGTACTCACTTTTTGAAATGATTGTGGAGACAATGCACGTCTTGGTTAATATGCTGACTACAGAATAAAACTGTGCAAGCAGACTGATCAAGCATCCTGATTTGGTTTGGAAATGCATTCTGTCATTATTTAGAATTGATTAGGTACTTGTTCAGTATTGAATAACTCTGTTAATCAAGACATTTTAGTTCATGTATGGTAAATATCAAACACAGACTATAAACCTTGGGATTGGTCTTTTAGAAAAAAAATTCTTTGGAAAAAACATCAACATTATAATGTACTTAAAGGCAAACCATTCCAGGATCCGAGATCCAGAAGCCTTCAGAAACCTTGGCCAACTTTAAACTAGGGAAGGATTTACCTACTAGAAAATTATTTTTGCTTTTTTTCCTTCCATAATCTATCTCATTTTCAACCAATCTATCTCTTCCTTCCTCATATCAGAATGCAGATTTTACCTGTTCTCTATTTTTGTCCATTTCACTCTCCTTTCTGCCCAAATTTTGTCTAGGAAGAATAGTACCATGCTCATTATCTATATTTGAATTGCATATACATAATTAATTTGAAATCAGAATTTGAAATTTGAAGATACCTGGAGGGACAGGCTTATTTTTTGTTGAACTTTATGTCAGTAGAAGGGGGGTGGGGAGGACGATGGAGGGGGCACAGATATCTCTGATGTGCAGCCGTGGGACTCTGTGACATTGCAGAACCATGAGCATCAGGCATAGGGACAGTTTCACAAGCACATCGAGCTGTTAATCATAATTGCTGTCTCATTTTAATCTAATTATGCAGATGTGTGGTCAACATGTTCTTAGAAGATGCCCTGAGGCAAATCTCTACTTTTAATGATTTTAATTGTTTTGTTTTATTTAAACATCAAACCGTTTGAACAGTTAAACAAAGGCTGATTCCCTCATTGAGGCCTTTCCTTTAAAAGTGGCAGAGACTGAAAGTAATCTCTAGTGTCTCGGGATGCATGCTGATTCATCGTAGAAAATGAATGTGAGGGCAGGTCAAGCAGGCTTTGTATGCATAGAAGATGAAGCATACAGATACTTTATTAGATTCCATTGCACGACTCAGCCCAGAAAACAGTTTCTTTCCATTAATCATACTTAGCTTATAAATGCAGTAATTTCAAAAGTCTTCAGCTTTTAAGTGTCCTACATGCCCAGCAAGGATATTCATAATCTGATAGTGATCCTATCAATTTCTTAGAAACAGATTGGTGCTCCTCCTTACATAAGTACCCTCGAAGCATCTTCACCTTCCTGTACCCACCCATCGTGCCCCAGTTCCCATGGGTACAAAGCAGGGCACTCCGGTCAGGTCTGCAGTCTTTATCTCTGTCCTCCCAGAATCTCTGTTTCCACTCCAGTAGACAACCTGGAAGGGAAGCCTTGAGTTTTGCTTTAGATATTGCCTCTTTGGGACAACTCTATGCCTCTCCGGATTTCCAGAGCCATAATTTCCCACAAAGAAAAGCTACTCCTAAAATAAAAGTGCTGAAGGTAAACTTTGCTTCTAGTCCCTCCCAGCACTTGCTCCAACCCTAGGACTACAGACCAGGAAGAATTCCCAGTGCATCCAATCTTCTCTTTAAAAGAGCTGATATCCCTCATCTGGAGAGATCCCACAGAGGGAGGGAGAGGAGTCTGGGAAATGCTCCACACTCTTCCAATTCCGCCCTCCCCCAACACACAGCCCTGGCCTTCCGTTGTGAAGCAGGTATTCTGTTGTTCCATCTCCTTCGCTGCTTCCTCCGCCACCCTTCGCCAGGTGTCATGGTGCACCCAGTTGGAGTGGCCAAAGTTAAATAAACAAGCAACAATGGGCAATGGCAAGTCCTAGCAAGGATCCAGAACTAGAAGTCTCCATCACTGCTGGGGAGATGCAAAAATGGCACGGCCACTTTGGAGAGTAGCGGTCCTACTCCCAAGTATTTACTCAAGAGAACTGAAAAGTCACATCCACACAAACTCCTATTCATGACTATCCGCAGTCACCAAACTGGAAACAACCCAACTGTCCTTCAGCTGATGAGTGGATAAACAAACTGTAGTGCGTGCATACAGAGGAATACTACTCAAGATGAAACAGAGCAAACTGATACATACAGCAGCAGATGTATGCATCGTTCTAAGTGGTGGTTACATGACCAAATGTATTTTTCAAGATTCATAGCATAGTACACTAAAATGGATGAATTTTACCCTGCTAAATTATTCTTCAATACACCTGAGTTTTATTTACATATATGTAATTTATAAACAAATGGCATCAATTTAAATATATAAAATATGATTTACATATGTATATGTAACATATACGATAATATATAATGTATATTTGTGACATATATAATACTAGTAATTATGTATTATAATACGTTTATATAAATTGATGCTGTTTAACGTCTGTAAATTATACCTCAATGACTTTGATTTGAAAAAACAAACTCTGGAGTTACTTGTTGGATATGTTCTTGAAAACAACATTTCTCTTAAGAAAACTTTATGAACTACAGCGTTATTTATTATTCAATGGATATTTAATTAGTCCTTCTACATGTTAGGAATTCTGCCAGTATTGGGGTACAAAAATAAGCAAATTCAGACATAGACCTGTCTTCACTGAATTTATGGTACGTTGGAGAAAACAGATGTTAATCAAATCACCATATACTCATACACACACACACACACACACACACACACAAACATAAAATTCCAACTGTAGGCTGGGCACAGTGGCTCAAGCCTGTAATCCCAGCACTCTGGGAGGCTGAGGCAGGAGGATCACTTGAGGCCAGGAGTTCAAGGCTACAGTGAGCTCTAATTGAGCCACCGCACTCCAACCTGGGCAACAGAGCGAGACCCTCAAAAAAAAAAAACAAAAAATACAACTGTTGACAAGTGCTTCAAAGCAGAGGACAGTGCTGAGGTCCTGTAATGGGACTTTGTCCTGAGGAAGTGGTCAGTGATGGCTTCCCTGAAGTGGTGACTGAGCTAAGGTCTGAAGAATAGTAGAGTTAATAAGCCACAGAGAACAGAAGAGCAGCCCAGGCAGAGAGATCAGGAGCTCCAAGGGCCCATGGTGGAAAGGGGTAACTGAGTCACTCCACTGAAAGAAGTTCTGTGCTGCAGAGTGTAAAGGGTGAGGAGGGAGTTAGTGTGAGGAGAGGATTGAGTAAGGAGCAGATCACACAATGCCTCTTGTGTGAGCATATGACCCAGGTTTCCCCAGGGCAGTCCTAGCTTATACCTGTGAATGATAAATTATAGGGTCACCCTATTCTGGGCCATGTTAAGAAGTCTTGTCTCTATCTTTAGAGCATTGAGAAACCACTCAAGATTTTAAGTAATGGGGTTGGAGGGTACTGGGTAACACGGTCAACTTTTTGATTAGAAAAGCTCATTCTGGCTGCAGCATAGAGAACGTATTGGATAGCAGGTCCCAGTGAAGCAACATGGGTGAGTCTCATGGCTAGTGTGGTTGTGCATGGGAGAAATATTGGTAGCTTGGAAGAGGATAGGGGTAACAGAGATGGAGAAAGGTAGAAAGATGCAAAGAATATTTGAAGATGGTAAAGTTGAGAAGGAGTGGAAAAGAAGGTCCCTAGTGATGGCTATCTGGATGGTGGTGCTGTTCACTCAGGTGAGGAACATACGTTAGGGGGTCCCTGATTTTGGCATCTGTAAGTTGAGGAGCATTTGAGACATGCAAGAGAAGATGTTAGGTGGAAAAGTAGGTATACAGGTCTAGGGCTCAGACAAGAGATCTCAGTTGGAGATACGAATTTGTAAATCATCTGCATTTAGACTGTAATTAAATCCATTTGTGTAGATGAGATTGGCTAAGAGACAGCATAAAGGGAAAATATAGGAGGGTCTCATATAATCCACTAAAAAGGACAATGAACAAGTCTTACTCTATTTGTGTATGTGAAAAGTCTGATTTTGTCCTTAATCAAATGACAACTCACTGTTCCCTAGGTCTGGGTACATATAGGGAGTAAGCATTCACTGATCATAGTTCTTTTCTGCCTATAGGGAATGATGACAACAATCTCAATTCCATCTTTTATGAGCACTTGACAAGGGCCCTCCAGGAGTCCCTCTGTGGAGACTTAATTCTTGGCCGCTGGGGCAATTACAGCTCTGGCGATTGCTTTATTTTGGCTTCAGATGACCTCAATGCCTTTGTTCACCTGATTGAAATTGGTAATGGTCTTGTCACCTTTCAACTTCGAGGACTGGAATTCCGAGGTAAGAATCTCTTCGTTGTAGAAGTTATTAGAAGTCATTCCCTTGAGTTAATTATGCAAAGCTTTAGGAAGAAGTCATTATTAAAGAGGAAGAATTTAATGCCTGCCCTATTGAGTGAGAATTAGGGAGCTTGCCAGCACTACCTTGATATAAATAAACACAGTCATCTGAAGGAATATGAAACATAACACATATAATCACATGTAACCCATGGATTAGCAAATCAAGACATTGGTTTTACTCTCTCTGGGAAAACCTGAGAAGCACAGGAGGTCGCGGAGCACACCTGGGCTCCAAGTGGAGTCAGCCAGACCTAAATAGAGCCTCATTCTGCCTGTCACAGGTTTGGGGGTCTGGTGTGTGCAAATAATTGAAGGTCTCTGAGTTTTTCCGTCCCATCTGGGAAGCAACAGTAACGATAAGAATGGCTGCCTCATAAAGCTGTTGTGTGATATAAATGAGATCATGTAAATGAAGGTACAACATGAATGCTCGTTGCGTGGTGCCTGTGGAGTCTGCCTGAATCAGTTTTTCCGTGAATCAGGAGCTGGAGTTACGTGGCGCAGCATGCAGGGAGTGGCATAACTGACGTGCCCTTGTTCCCTGCTGCTGCGTTCTTTGTGTATTCCTTCACGCACTGCGTGTTTTCTGCACACCTCCTTGTGTTTTCTGCACACTTCTGCTGTGTCAGGTGGTGTTCTAATGCTGGAGTTGCAACAGGCTGGTGGCATGAAAGAGTCTTACTCCTTGATGAAGCTTACTCCAGGGAGAGACACAGAAAATAACCAAGTGAGCAAACTAATGACAGCTTGAAGGCAGTGCCGTGAGGGAAGTAAACAGGTTCTGGGACTGAAGGCACTACAGAGGGTGAGAGTGAGGAGGTGCCACGTTGGATGAGAAAGTCAAGGAAGGCCCAGAGATGAGGAGAACAGGAGGAAGAATCTTCCAGGCATAGGAGCTGATCCCTGCTAAATGTATGAGTCAGTCAGCAGCTCAGAGCATTGCAGCACCTGGGAGGACCATGTGACTAGGACTGACCAGGTGTCCCAATGTGATTTCCAGCAGGTAGTTGGGAGGAAGTGGTCGAAGAGAATGCTAGAAAGGTGTGCAGGAGCCAGTTCATAGCTGTCCAGAGCCTCGCTGTGACAAAAGGACGCCTTTTAGCCAAGAATAAATTGCCATTATTCTGATCTCGAACACCATTACCCAAAGAGGACCAAGCCTCTCAGTTCTCTGGATGAGAATTCCTAAACATTAGTTTTGTGGGAATCTATTCCTTTTAACATTCCTAAATAAATTTGTACAAAAGATGACTTTTTCCTAGAACAGTAGGTTCTGTGTTTTGGGTGTACATTCTGTGCATTTTAATGAATTCAGTTTATTTATTTTGGACAAGGTTATTGGGCAGAGGAGTAGTGGTAGAACTCTACAGGGTAATCATAGAGGCCGTGTTTCCCCTAAATTTAGTGTAGATGCCAGAAAATGCCACAGGAGGTGGTGGAAATTCAGTGTGTCCAGTGTAGTGATACAACACAACTGGCCTCTGAATTTCTGAATCTTACCTCTTTTAGGAGCTTTTCAGGTTTCTTCTGGAATTCAAGGGGAAAACGTTTAAAGCTAACCTCGCTGAATATGGGTTATAGTTTCTATCACAAGTTCTATGCCATTTTCCGCTTCTTTGGCAAACTTAACCCATCTTTGAGTTTAAAGGGTCCAAAGTTAATTAGACTTTAGAGATATGCAGTGCTTTTTCTGTCCTGCCAGCTCGTTGACACAAACATGGGTTCTTCTTAATCTATCACACTCAATGTTTTGGCCTCACCTCAAATCAATGATCTCTTGAGGCATAACCAACCACCACAAAACTTAGTGGTCTGGAACGATAATGCTGTGCTAGTTCTCACTTATTGCCCACTGTTGTGTGGTTGGCCAGCGGTTCTCCTGCTCCTGCTGCCCAGGGTCACTCGGGCAGCTTCATTCAGCAGGCAGAAGGGCCAGGATGCCACCTCCACAGGCTGTCTGCCAGCTCTGGGACCTTGGATGACCTCCACGTGGCCACTCAGCCTCCAGGAGGCTGAATGAGGCATCAGCACAGCTGGGTGGTCTCAGGGTTCAAAACAAGGGGAACAGCAAGGCCCCTTGAGGCACAGTCTCTGGGACAGGCACCATGTCAGTTCTGCCATATTCTGGGAGTCAAAGCCATTCCCAAGGGCAGCTCAGGTTCAGTGGTAGAAAATTGGGCCTGTCACAGTGCACAGTGGTATGGTTATAAGAAGGCACGATTCACAGGCGGCCGATATTACAACATACCAGACTCCTGGAACTTCATCAGGTGAAATACACAAGGAAGCCTAGAACTGACACAGAGGTGGCCACACCCAAGATGGCGGCAGTGGTTGTGTAAGACAGGATTGCCCAGGACGGTCTCTCTGTTATCGCTGGTTAATTTTCCCTCTTCCTGCCAACCACAGTAAGAACATAACCTGGCTGTAAGGGTCACTTGCGCACAATAAAGATGTCTTGAGAAAAAAATGCCAGCTCCCCTGCTGCAATACTGCTCACCCTTGCACAAAACATTTTCTTTGACCTAGTTCAATTGTAGTTGGGAACATCGAGACTTTAAAAGACCAAATAGCTTGACAAAATCTAAATTATGCTTTTGTTGCAGGAAGAGTCTGGTTGACCTAAAATGACCAGTCTGTTTTATATCTCTTTGCAACTTATAGTACAGTATTCCCAGGAAAGGTCTGTTTTCTTTACCTCCTTGGATATTTTTTTAAGTTACTTCCTTGGGTATTTTTTTAAGTTTTCTTTTCAGCATTTTACTTTTCAATTCCCTATTTTCCCAAATAACAGGCTTTATTTTGGTCAAATTTAATCTACTTCAGCACAAGCTGGGGCAGTCAAAATATAGATAGGTTGGTTTTCTCTGCTGGAGGCTACTGAAGCCATCAGTGGGAACGTGAGCTGTTCACGGCACAGACTCCGGCTCTTTCTCAGGAAGTGAAAAATGCATCCCAGAGTAAGGCAAGCTCCCTGAGACCATGGCCAAGAAGGGCCCCCATCTTTCTCTCTCTGAAAGTGTCTGTGTCAATAGGAATTATTAGCTGCAAGCAATAGAAATGAATTCCAGCTAACTTAAGTAGGAGAAGGGTTGTTGGAAGCAAAGGACACAGACTTCTGAGAAGGCTAGTTCAGCAGGTTTGGTGGCTGTTGGACAAGAGTTATATCTAAAATCATGCCGCAGCTGTGAAGGAGTCACATCTTGGCTAGTGGATCAGGCACTGCCATCATGTGATCGACACCATGAGCCTGGACACTGTACAGTGCTGCTGACATTGCTGCTGTCCCCATAAACTGATGAACAGCCCCTGCAGCCACCTCCCTTCCAGAATGAATTCCACATGATATGACTTCTTTGTGTTGCCTGCTCATTAGTCAAAGTCTGTGTGGCTGCATCTGATTGACAAAGCCAAGATCACACATGTGTGCTCTAGATGCGAGGGAGCCCAGGAAAAGAGAGTGTCTGTGTAGAAGCTTTTTAATTTGATCAGGTTCAATTTATTTATTTTTTTGTTGTTGTTGCTGTGATTGCCTTTGGGATCTTCTTCATAAATTCTTTGCCTAGGCCAATGTCTATAAGAGTTTTTCCAACATTTTCTTCAGGAATTGTTATAGTTTCACGCCTTGGGTTTAAGTCTGTTATCCACCGTGAGTTGATTTTTGTGA